TGTGACTTCCTCAAGAAACATCACAAACTAATCCAGGTCTCGATATTCTTCCTGTGGGTGCAGGGGTGTACGCTGTGCAGTGGCAGAGTACTCGTGTTATTTCTGTTAAGTCTGGGTTACTGTAAAACTGCTCTGTACTGTTATTTTATTTAGCTGAATTTATTTATTTAGCTCGAATGAATGAACAATGAATATTGTTACAAGATGCCTGCGGCCAATTAAAGCTTTATTTCAATACAACACTCAATGCAACAATTACATTTTACAATATTTATAGTATGCACATCATAAATCCTGTAAGTGTAAAACAATTTTATTCCACATGGTGGTCCTAAATAGTAACTATTAGACTGAACAGACTTGATTGAACATCAGTACTTCCTGCTTGGTAAAATCTGTTTACAAGTCAATCTTACCACTGACGCCTACATCATAAAAAATTTTGATGTTCTTGATGTAGAATATCGAATCATTTATTTGGATCATGTATAAATTCAATTTTCAGCAGCCACTCTAAATAAGTAAGAACAAAACCAAGATATACAGTAATGTGTGTGCGTATATGTGTAGGAGGAATAAAACCAGTTAATGTGATGGGACACCTTTAGCATTTGAAAGTTGAAAGTCACAAGTAGAAGTATAAAAGTCTGCAAAGTACATATTTAATAAGAACATGATTATAGTGGGTATTGCACTGTTGGCTCTTCAGATCAGCAAGTCTTTTAGACATGTGTAAAATGTCACAAATAAACATCTACATAAACAAGACACTGACTAATATTTACAAGGCAACAACAAAAAACAGATTGATTTCAACTGTAATCTGTATGATTTATTATTTTATTTTTATTATAAAAAAGTAAAGCTACTGCATATAAAAAGATATGGCGTGTATCACACACATACAGGTTGAACTGTAAATGACTGTTATGAGTTTTAAGTTTAAAAAACAGAAACTCCAGGATTTCTCTACATGTTAATTAGCACTAATCTCTATTTATCTGTTAAGACCAAATTACTTTAAGTATTTAGTACTAATTGATGCAGGGTGCACTCACTGTGGCTTGCTGAGTAGAAGGCCGCAGGAAGACCAACACTGAAGAAAGTGACTTGTGTGGGGCAAACAAATAAAATCTCCACATAAAGAAGAATTTCATAAAATCAGGCTTGAAATTACATCATGAATTCTTCAAACAGACCTTATAAGTACACAATTAACTGATGTTGTATTTATAGGTTTACTTCTGGTAACTTTTTCCCACAGAAATACAAAGAAAATGGTGTCGGAAAAATAATGTAGTTTACAATCTGTAGTGGTTCTGATTACTGCAGTGAATCAGTAAGCTCATCACTTGAAATCCTCATGTCTGGGCTCTGTCTGTGTATCCCTGCAAAGACATAAGCCTCTATTAACATTTGATAATATGTACGGTATGAATATGAAGGTGTGACTGTGTCCAGACTTTTCACTCTACAGTAAAGGCTCAGAGAGTTGTTAAAATCCTCAGAAAAATGTTTCAGTGAGAATGGAAGGCTTGACAAGAGGGGAACATCACAGCCTTGTTTCCCCCTGTCGTAGCACCTATGTAGTCACAGTATCACTTATGGGGACTGTCCATTTTGTCATCCAAGAGTGGAAAAAGCAGAAACATGAAAGCAGGAATCTCATGTCCGTGCCATTTTATGAACACCGGGTGAGTTTTGATAGTTCTGAGGAAAAACAAAAGCAGAATTGAACATGTTATAACAGGATGAAATTCTTAATTGTATCATTCTATTCATCTTAAAACATCAATATTCAGCAACCCATCCAAAACATTAACTTCAGGTCTTCTCATCAATTTCATGGGCGCAGGTATATAACCAAGCACTAAGACATGCAGACTGCTTCGACAAACATTTGTGAAAAAATGAGTCGCTCTCAGGTGCTCAATGTAACACTAAATATTCCACAGTTAACTGTTAGTGGTATTATAACAAAGTGGAAGTGATTGGGAAACAACTGCAACTCGGTTCGGTGAAGGGGGGGGGATTATGGTGTTGGGTTGTTTTTCAGGAATTGGGCTCAGCCCCTTAGTTCCAGTGAAAGGAAACCTTAAAGCTTCAACATAAACAGACATTTTATAATGGACTGCATTTATATAGCGCTTTTCTAGGCACCCAAAGCACTTTACATTCCACTATTCATTCACACACTGGTGCAGGCAAACTACAGTTGTAGCCACAGCTGCCCTGGGACAGACTGACAGAAGCATATTGTGCCATTGGCACGTTGCCCCTCTGGCCAACACCAGTAGGCAGTAGGGTAAAGTGTCTTGCCCAAGGACACAACGACCAGGACAGAGAGAGCTGGGGGATTAAACCGGCAACCTTCCAGTTACAGATGAGCTTCCCAACCCCCTGAACCACGGTCACCCCGTGGCATTTTAGACAATTTCATGCTCCCAACATTGTGGAAACAGTTTGAGGATGACCCCTTGCTGTTTCAACATGACTATACACAAAGCAAGGTCCATAAAGACATGGATGAACAAGTTTAATGTGGAAGGCTGACCTGCACAGAGTCCTGACCTCAATCTTACAAAACACCTCTGGGATGAATTGCTGGAGAGACTGCGAGCCAGGCTTTCTCATCCAACATCAGTGTCTGACCTCACAAATTGTGCAGGCTCATCAGGCCAGGCAGTGTTTTTCCAGTCTTCTGATGTCCAGTTTTGATGAGCCTGTGTAGTCTAATTTTTCCATTGTTTGCTGGCAGGAGTGACACCATCACTCCTGTGGCTGGTGTGCATTCAGAGATCTGCATACCTCTGTTGTAACAGGCCGTTGCCTTCCTATCAGTTTCTCCATTCTGATGTTTTCTTGAACTTCAGCAGGTTATGTTGCCCAACATATGTAAACACCACCATTGTGTTTCTGTTATTATTAGAAGATAATAAAATTCAAGTAATACAGTAAAACGCTAATAAGAACATCGCCACGTGAAAGTGGGGGTTTTGAAGTAAGCAG